TTACATAATTTTATATAATATTCAAATAAAATAAGATATAATATAATATATAAAAATAAATATAATATAATATTTTACCTTAAAATTTGTAAAAGAATGAATCTAATATGAAAATTTGTATAAAATTAATTAAAAATACCCTAAATAATGAGGCTTTGTAAAAAGAATGAATCTGATATGAAAATTGGGCACAGGTTAAATCTCATTAATTAGAGTATTTTTAATTAATTATATATAAATTTTTATATCATATTTATTATGTTTTACAAATTTTAAGGTAAAACATTATATTATATTTTTATTTTTATATATCATATTATATTTTATTTGAATCTTGTATAAAAATTTGTGTAAAATTAATTATAAATACTACAATAAATGAGATTTAACTTGTGCCCTGAAAATCTTTATGTTTAAATACGTAAAAGTGAAAAAAAATATCTTGAAAATATTTTTTTCTCAAGTCAAGTGGTTTTTTTTTAAGTCAATGCCATGTCATTGTTCAATCATCATCTTTCGTTAACGGACCACAAAAATCAAACGGACATCATCCTTAACAGAAGGGGTGATTTGCAGATTTCATCACTACTGTAGGAATCGGATATTCAGACCGAAATATCAGTTTGGATATATTAAAAATCGGTCTGAATATATATATCCGGACTGATCTTGGTCCCTATAGTTGATCTGAAAAAACTTGGTACGAAAAAATATAATATACAGATCGATATAAAATCAGTCCGTATATATATAATATACGGACCGAAATCGATCCGGATATTTCAATAAGAAATATAAATGGTTATTTAAAAATTGAAATAAGCAGACCGAAATTGGTCCCAAAAAAATAATATAATAAAATAATAAAATATGTACGAACCGAAAACGGTCTGGAAATGTAGCGGAAAGAGGCATAGCAAATATATACGGACCGGGATCGGTCTGAATATGGAGAACCCAGCAGCAACTTTTAAAACTTGCAACTATATCCAGACCGTTTTCGGTCGGAATATGTTGGACTTTCTTGTAACTTTTAAAAATTACTGTCCCAACCGGCTTCATTTTGAAAATATATCCACACCGGTTTCGGTCTGAATATATTGGACTTGGTTATAACTTTTAAAAGTTCCATCTCCAACCGGCGTTATTTTCAAACTATATCCAGACCGTTTTCGGTCTGAATATTGTGGACTTGCTTGTAACTTTTAAAAGTTCCATTTCCAACCGGCGCCATTCTCAAACTGTATCCAGACCGTTTTCGGTCTGAATATGGTGGACTTGCTTGTAACTTTTAAAAGTTTCTCTCCTAACCAGCGCCATTTTCAAACTGTATCCAGACCGTTTTCGGTCTGAATATGGTGGACTTGCTTGTAACTTTTAAAAGTTTTTCTCCCAACCAGCGCCATTCTCAAACTATATCCAGACCGTTTTCGGTCCGTAAATATCTTTAAAGAAAAAAAAAATAAAAAAAATAAAAAATAAAGAAAACAGATTTATTTTATTTAATAATTACACAATATTACCAAATAATGCAAAAATAAATTTTACAATTCAAAATAAATGCATTTATAAAAAAATAAAATAT